ATAAGTTTGATTTAGATTACTGAAATACTAGGGAATCAGAAAATTCCATTCACTAGGAAGGCACTTTGCTCCAAAGGAGAGTAAACGAATACCTTGTGAAATAAATTGCCTGATGTGCTTTGTTGTGCGACTCTGGAAAATCACATTTTGATTTTAATTGGAAGCTTCTTTTCCAGAAAATTCTGTCACTCACAAGTGTGATAGAAAAATGACTGAAGTGTGATAGAAAAATGACTGAAGTGTGATACGTTTTTTGATTTTGTGTTGGCTTGTTCATTCTATTCCTTATCAGAAGGCAGGGAACTCAGATGCCTTTAAGTCCTCGGTCTCAAAATCTATAGATTTTGGCACATGAGTGATGACTATTGGTAGAACTCAACGACACAATCCTGTGTAGAAGATGCGAGCTGGCAGGATTGCATTCCCAGTAACGTAGGTAGGGCTTGTAGGTTGTGTGATTATTGTGACACTGGAGGGTTCCCCGACGTGTGCTTCAATCTTTGCTGCTAGTTGGCACGGCTGAGTGCTGGTGAGCATCCAGCCCTCTTCTAGCAGCTTCAGGCAGACCCTCTTGGAAAGGAGACTTAGATACAGAGAGAGGCCGCTTTCTGCTCAGATCCTCTCACTACCTGCCGTGCAGCAAGAGGTTTGTGCTGCTGGGCACTTGGTTGCACACATGAGTATGGCTGGCAGGTGTAGGAACAGGATCCCATGGAGCAGGGCACTGCCCGTTATAGCAAGAGAGGCCAAATCTGACCTGCAACCTTCTGACTTGAAAAGAGGTAAACAAAAATGGAGATGTAGCAATTTATGGCAGAATTTTCTTCTCTTGACTCTGAGTATTGTTTTCTGTCAAGTGCAGTAAATATTGCTACTCTGTTTCCCAGCCTTCAAAGTAGCACTCGAACCAGATGTTTTCATTAAAATCTGCTCTAAGCAAATGCAGCTATACTTTTGTTTTCTTTTATCCTGTTCCCTGACATTTATGCCTAGCAGATTTTTTTACAAGATCTTTGTTTCACTTACGAGCCTATATTTTAACATACCACAATGTTTTTCTTTGATCGAACTCCTAGTTTCTCATTAGTGTCACCAAGCTCTACAGTTCTGAGTAATGCATCAGTTTTGACAGATACTAAGCTATTTGTTATGTGTGCATTAATTTGCTAACAGTCATCTCTGTAACTTCTCTCTTAGTCTCAGTATAGATTGACTGAGTGTGCATATCTGAAAACATGTTGAAAGTACATATATATATGGACTTTGGGAATTTATTTTGAAAGTACCATGTAACCAGTATATATGACTAATTTTTTACAGCAACTATGACCGGCAACTAATTTCTTGAAATTATATAGTAAACATCATTAGAAAATCTGATATCTGTCATAGCTGGTAGGGTTGGGGGTTTTTTTGAGCTTCTGCTTAGAAAATTAACAAGGCTAATTGATCTGATGATTCCTAGCTCATTCAACTTGCTACATTTTACAATTATATTAGGACCAGAGATTACAACAAGCAAGTATTACTCGTGCTACTGTCTCAGATCTCTTGCTTAGTTGCCTGAACTCTGAAAGTTATCTACTAGGTTTTGTGGTATGAATTTTGTTTTGGCATGTCTGAGTAAGATCTGCATTAAAATCAATAGTTTATGTTTTCAAATGAGTGGTGAGACTGAGAGAAGATTTTTTCCACGTCCTTTCTTTTTTTTTTAAGTAGTTTCAAAAGCGTGCTCTGTTCTACTACAGATTTATATTTCTTCTATTACAAAATGCTTTCACTTTGCAGTGCTGCAGGCCTGCTTGCAACTGATTGCTGACAGCAAAAGCGATATCCAACAGAAAGGTAAGAATATGTTCCATGATTTATAGCTAACTATTCCATGTATTAACTCTCCAGTCCAATTTTATCTAACTGCAAAGAAATAACTGAGTTAAGTCACTGAATTTAAAAAAAAAATTAAAAAGAGAGCCCTGCATCTGGACAGCTCTTGCAAATATCCTCTTTTCAGCAGGGAAGTCCAGCTGGTGAGACTGTAAGCCTTGACTAGAAGTCAGCTTTGTTGATTTTTGTCATATGAAAACGAAGAAAGTAACTTTTCTTTCTGGATACTCCAAAATTATTGTTTCTTTCAGATGATTCAAGCATTGTCCCTTGGCTTCTGAGCTTTAAACGTGGAACAGCTCTGGAAGAACAAGGAAATAAAATAGTGATCAAAGAAACAGGATATTTTTTCATATATGGCCAGGTGAGAAAGATCAATTCACTTCAGCATCTGACTTTTTAAGGGATTTTTAATGTCTCCATACAGTATGTTTCAAGCCTGCACCTCTTCATTCTGCAGGTTTTATATACAGATACAACATTTGCTATGGGACACCTAATACAGAGGAAGAAGGCCCACGTGTTTGGTGATGATCTCAGCTTGGTGACATTGTTTCGTTGCATCCAAAATATGCCACAGTCTTATCCGAATAATTCTTGTTATACTGCTGGTAAACATCTAAGTTTTCTTTTCTTTGTTTGCGAACAAACTGTATCAAGTAGAATCTGTAGCGCTGGGTGATTAAGTATTGTGGCAGTTGTAAAGAAAATGAACTGCATTCATGGATCTGGTTAATTGCAGAATTACAGAATAATTTCAAAAAATACGGTTTTGGATAAAGTATTGGCAGTTGGAGGGTATGCATGTAACTTTGGTGACCTGCACAATTACCCTGTCTCCATTGACTGTATAATGTGGTTAGATACTTTTGTGCTTTCGGTTAGATGCCTGAAGCAGGCACGTAGTGTCTTTATTGAAGAACTCAGTTTAACTTAGGGGTTGAATTCCACGTTTAGTTATCCCAATATTTAGGAGATATCATCTGCTTTAAAACAGCATGTATGAATTTTAGTCATCCAATTTTTGCATACCCTACTGTGGGATTTCCAAAGGTATTTCTTATTAGTTTAATTCTCTACTCCTTCTAATGGCTACTGCAGTTTTACTCTTCGGTTAGATGAAAAATAGTTAATTCCTATAAAGGAGGTCTTTCTGACTGTGCAAATCAGAAACATCACAAGAAAGATCAACTGAAATATTTAATGCAAGTCCAGCAGGCTGAATGCTCGATATACATGTGTATTCTTGCAGTAGCATTTAAGCAATTATTGTCGAGGCCTATTAGACCTCATTCAGTAGCTCTCATCTGTCTGTCTTTCCCCCTTAATGGTGGATTTGAGGCTTTTCTCTTTTGTTATTTTCCAGCAAGACTTCTGTGAATAAAATATATCTTTTTTTGCAATGCCTCATAAAAAAAGTAGATGACATTGAGTGATGGAGTTGACTGTTGACAAGTAATGATGTTAAACGAATGGGATGGGGAAGGAAGCTAAATTTTTTTCCAAACAAAAATAAATTAGTTACTTCCTCCTGGCAATTGAGGCTGTCCAAACATTTTCTTTAACTTTCTGTCCCTCCACCCACACGTTCTGGCATCATAATCACCTTCAATTTCATCTATCCTCTTATTTCACCCTTGTATTACTCCTCCCATTTCTTAACTAGGAGCTCTGCTCCATCCTGCCGCTCCGCAGTTCCTGCTTCCCAAATTCCCACCCTTCTGCTTTCACCTGGAAAACCAAATCTCATGCTGTTGAGCATGTGTCGCAGCAGATGTCAGATGTGCTCTCAGCTCAGTGACTGCAACTTGAAGGCGAGATGATTTCGGTTATCACATCAGCTGATGTGTGGCTGGCAGGAAGCAAACTTTTGTGCTCTGCAGTTGCAGTGGATCAGCTGATGTCTGGTAACTTCATTTGGTCGGTAAAACTCATGAGACCTCCTCCAGAAGTGTGGGAGCAGAGTGGTCTAGGACCAGCAATAACCAGTGCTGACTTTGACAATCACATCACCATAACGTGAAGAATCTGGGTACACCACTGTTATGAAGTTTTGCAGTGTTTGCTGAAATGAACTGTGTGCTGAATGCTGAGTACAGAGTGGAAAGTAGATCCAGCTCCACAGAGGTCGTTAAGTGTGAGCTTTGGGTAGGCTGCAATTTCTAAGATTGCGCCTAAAGGTAAAAAAGCACTCATCACAAGTAACAAGCCATGCTTATATTTGTAAGATGTCGTGTAATGACTTTTTGAATACTGTTTATGAAAATAATGTATTTGAAATATTAATTTAAAAATATTCCAAATCTTTTGCCAGGCATTGCAAAATTAGAAGAAGGGGATGAACTTCAACTTACAATACCACGAAGAAGGGCCAAAATATCCTTGGATGGAGATGGTACTTTTTTTGGTGCAGTTAGACTCCTCTGAAGCCCTTGATTTCTGTTATGCTTAATGCAGTTTTCTTCTTTTCCTATGCCTTTGTCAGAAAAAATACTGAATTGTAATAAAGCTGCCAATTCCATCTCTCCCCATCCACCACCAACTTCTGAGAACTTTTCTTCGGTTTAATAAGCGAACCCAAAACAGAAAACGCACCAGACATACTTGTGAGATATAACCATCATGTGATTAACAGAAAACCGATTGATTTTAGACAATGGGAGCACTAAATAACAACTGTGAAGCAATGTTTTTTTGGCTTTGAAACAATTTATTGTCCATCAGACAAATCAAATGAGCTGGCCATAAAATACAGCATAAACAGGACCATTGATTATCAAATTATTATCCATAATTGAAAAGGAAAACTAAAACACAAGTACATCTTACATTTGCTTTATTCCATCAATAAAATATTTGCAGTATAACATATGGGGAGTAAACAACAAACAGTACATTCCTCGTAACAAAATGGAGGTGTTTGTTGACACCGAGATTTTGGGGAGGAAGAAGTCTAAATGTATGGGATAATGAAAACAAACCCCTCAGAAATATATAGAATAGTAGCCACTGACTTGCTGCTTCCCTGTGAACAAATGATGTATAAATTACTAAAATCTATTAGTATTTACTGATTAGAACTAATTTTACTGGAAAAAGCACAGGTAAGATGCTTCAGCAGATGAATCTTCAAAGCGTTGCTACTCATCAAGGAATACGTATCTACTTCTATGTAAGCAATGGAGGCATAGAAAGATACACAGTGAGATTAGATACAATGCAGTTGGTAGAATTGGATTTCTGGCTTCATAATTTCTGCAGTCATATATAGATGTGTGTATATATACAGTATATATATGTATATGTATATGTATATATAGGAAAGTATGTACACACACAGATATAAGCCTTTGACATTTCGGCATAGAATGTTATCTTCCTTTGAATACTTTATCCAATGGAAATATTAGTACATATGTATTTTTTATTTCTATTGCTTTTTGCTACGATCCATTCTATGCAATGTAGTAAAAAGAAAAATCCAATAAGCCTGGAACCAGCCATACGACTAAGCAAATACATTTGTATCCCAGAAATCTAGGCTCAATCCCTACGTTAACTATAGGCTTTTTCTGCTGTTTGGAATATATTGCTCAACTCTGTTTTACAAAAAAAATCAGACCTGTAGAAAGACTAAATAGATGTATTTTTTATTTGATCTTGTCTGTCTACTCTGTTCAGCAGATACAATTTATGTCTTTTTTACCTCAAGAATCCATGTGTATTGTGTAGTCAAGGTAATAGTGTGGTAATAGTGTGGTCAAGACTTCTAGGAGCTATTGTAATACAAACATTGAATACTTATTCCACTGATCTTCAAAGAAGTGTTGAAGTAGTAAAGGAATAGATAAAATAATATAACCAACCAGTAATGAACTGTACTTCATCTGAAAATACTTTTTAGGGGTTGAGAATTGTGTCGTATAATCTCATTTAGTAAAGAAAAGACACTTTGTATGTTCTGTCTCCTCGTCTGTTTTTATAAATCGTGCTGATTTGATCAAGTTCTCATGGTGATAGACAACAAATAAAAGAGATTTGGAGCTAGGAATTACAGACTATGGTAAACTACCGAAACAATGAATTCAACTTATCTGGGCTTCAAGAAGACATTTCAGCAAGAAGCATATGTGTGTTGGATTACCACATCATTATTATTATTATTACTACTACTACTACTACTATTATTTGATTTTGATGTGCTAAGTTAGCCAAAAATGCATTTTAAATCCTCTACAAGAACCCTCAGTTTAGCCAAAGGTTGTGTGAAGCTGCATGTAGAGAAAACAATTGTTAGCATGCAGTGAGTTGTCTGTTATTACTGACATACATTAGAGATGCCCAAAATCTCTCATCCGAAGCTTGTTGATTTTAGCGTTGTCAGCTTATAGAAAAAAAATGTTGTTACTATTGCTTTCCCAGAGACTTGATGGCTAGAGTTGCAAATTTAACTTCTAGTAAGTCTGTTTCCCCAGTGGTTTCAGTGGGCTTGTGTGTGCTTAGCTTAAGCCAGTTCTGAAGGTGCTTGGCACCTTGGAAGGTGTAGCTTTGATATAAACAGACACAGTGTAATAATTTAAACTTAGAGCACATAGCAAAAATTTTGTGGAGCTAAATCCATTGTCATCACTGCCCTTTTACCTCGCCATATTTCTTCCTTCTGCTGCTGGCAAATGTGGACAGCACAGAACTTTGGGGTTTGGAGTATGGTGTGGCTTGGATGAAAACTTTTATCTTCTGGACTTCAAGATTTCAAAAGAATTCCCTTCCTTTAGTAGCACAAAACTGAACTTCAAGTTTCTTCACAAAATATGTGGATCATGAGAACTCCCGCATGTGTGCAGAGAGGGCAAGTTAACAGATCGTTCAGATATTTCTTCTGACAAAGCTGGCTATTTTGTTGTTGTTGGGTTAGTTTTTTGCTGGCTTCATGAGAAAACTTGTCTTCTCAAAATTAATCTGCTTCTGCACAAGGTTGAGTTTTAACAGATCAGCATTTTCTGACCAAAGCAGGAAGAAAAGGAGAACACCTCATTCCTGATGGTTCTGCTAACAAACTGGTGATGCAGGAGGTCGCAAGGACCACAATCATGCTTATGCTTCAGTTATTGGGAGTTACCAAAACTTTCTGCATTTGACAGATGTTATTTAAAGAAGTGTGATAGGTAATAAGTGGGTTCATACCGCATTTTACATTCTTATCAAGGACATCTAGTGTTTAAGATAGGTTCCTGCAAATGCAGCAAACTGTGCAAATACTCTGGTTCTTTTTTGTGTGGTGTTAAGCAGCAGCATGGCAAACATAAGAGACTTGAACATTTTCTTTCGTGAAGAAGCGTGAGCTTGTATCGCTCTTTCTTTTTCAATACCGTGCAGTTGGCAGATATATAGCTGCTTTGAAACATGTAATTTGTATCTTAAACATGAAAATATGTCCGTTATATGACGTGCAGTCACGCACCCTACCGATATACAGAGCATACTCATTACAAGGCTCTCCCAACCCTGTTTCTCTAATTTCTCGGCATTTCCCATTGTAAGACCTTAATTTCAGTTGTCCCACAATTTAGCCAAGTTTACACCACTGTATCTCTGGTTTATGTATAAGATGAATTGCCTTGGATAACTTCTCCCAAAGTTCTACTCTTATAAAGATGGGGGTAGGACAAATGCATAGTTTGGATTTAATTTTAATGATTTGGCTACTTTTTCTTTGGAAAGATCTAGAGATTCTGTGCTTTGAAAGAAGAAATTTGTGTAATGTGGGATTTGCTTTGTTTTAATTGGGATTTTCTTTCTTCCTTTCTTTCCTGTGCACTCATAGTTTTACAAGGTGTATGCTTTTGAAGAATATTTTATGCTTTCTTATGTTAAGCATATTCTATCTCTATGGAACTTTCAAAAGGGAGAGGAAAATATTCCTAGTAGTTTCGTCTCTTGGCTGAGTCCATGGATTAGCACCGTCAGTAAGATCTAAGGTTGTTTTTCAAGGTCAGTCCAAGCAGGAGTGAGAAGGAACTTGATGCAAACACAGGGAAGAAGGAAGCTAAATATTTGATGTAGAAAGGATCTCATGGAGTTTGTAGATTACACAGAGCCTAGGGGTGATGAGGAAAACAAACCACATTTGGAACTGGACTGCAGAAATTGGAGAGACCCTAACTAAGATTTGATTGCTTGTGAGGTGGAGAGAAATGCAAGGGCATGAAATAGACTGGCTGTAAAAAGCCTGGGAACTCAAGGAGATTGGGCAAAGGCAGCAGCTTTGTGGAAAAAGGGCAAAGGGTTCCTGGGGGAAAGCAAGATAAACACAAATCCACAGTGAGCCCTGTAAGAGCCAAAGACTCACAGCATATTGCTCTGTATTAACAGGAGCATCACCAGTAGATTAAGGGAAGGGTTTTTTTCCCCTTTTCTTGGCGCCTTTCAGAGTGTATTTGGGATACTGTGTCCTGGTTTGGACACACTATGCTCCAAATACAAGAAGAATGGTGAGAAACTTGAGGGGGTCCATTTGCAATGCAATGGGGTGGTCGGAGAGGAGCACACACCTGCCCTACTAGGAGGGGCTGAGGGAAATGGGTTTGTCCAGCCTGAAGAAGAGGCTCAGGGGTCCTAATAGCAGGCTTCCAATACCAGTTAGGAGGTTGTCAAGAAAAATCATACCCTTTGAGAGATCCACGCTGGTGTGAGAAGAGACAATGAGCACAAAGCAAACTGGGAAGTTTGTGCTTGATATAAGGAAAAAAATTACCATGGTGTCACGGTCTGTTTGGATCTCTCAAATTTACAGGTCAACATATTCTGTAAATTAAAGCTCATTTTATGAGCTCATTAGGGAACAAAACAAACATGACAAACAAAGGTTCAATGCCCTTTGTACAGACTAGTCTAACATGTGAATTCACTAATTCGTCACTTAAGTCACGAGGTTTCTAACTCACAAGCTCTCTAACTCATAAGTCGCAACTCATAACTTGTAATTCACACACCTATGGGCAAAAGAGTTAGCTAGCTGATGAGAAGAGCACTCATCCTTCCTCCTACATCATGGTGCAGGCATCCCCTGTTTCACACTGGGAAGCATGAAAGCCTCAGAAGTGCAGCTGCTGTTGGATCTGCTTCAAAAGTTTTTTTGGGTAAGTGGATGTATTTATTCCTTCCAGCTTGGAATTTTGGTCTACACCATTTCCATGAGTTAGCAGATTATGAAGAAACTGCGAGACAACCAATATGCAAGGACGATGGCTGCAGAAGACAGCAAGCTGCAGGTGCTAATGGCTGCATAACGACCTTTAGCCCTTTCTGGCCACCGTGTCCTGTCTATGTGTTGTCTTTGCTTTGACCTAATGGTGCTGATCCCAGCATACATCAGGCCTTAACATGAGCTGTGTGTTAGCCAAAATCTGTGTAGGAATTGAGTGAAGAGTCACACCATGGGGACAGTCAGCCACTGAATCAGGTTGCCCAGAGGGGCTGTGAAAAATCTGTTCCTGCAGATTTCCAAGACCTTAATGGATAAAACCCTGAGCAACATGGTCCAAACTCAGTGCTGAGCCTGTTTTGAGCAGGCTGGAGTACAGACATCCCAAATAATCCCTGTCCCCTGGCTGGTTCTATGGTGAGAAACCAGGAGACGTGGGGGCAGAGAAAGGACTAAGACTGGTGGGAACAGGTCAAAAAGGGTCCTGCTGGGGAAGGAATGGTGTTCATTTCCTGATTGCAAATGAAACGTGGGTTCCTCAGGGTGTGCTTCAACAGTTATCAGCAAACATTGATGTAATGCACAGGGCAGGTTCCAGTTAAGCACAGCAAGCTGCTGTCAGTCATCAAATGCTGCATGACCTGAAACTCA